CCTCAATCTTTCTCTGAATTCAGATTCCCCCCTCCAGCGCAAAGCGCAGAAGCTTAACGTTTCATTAAATTATTAGAGAAAGAAGACGGATTCGTTATACCGTTCTCGATTCTTAATCATTGTCTGAATTCAGTTTCCATACCCCCTCCCGCGCGAAGCGCGGAAGCTTTGACGTTTCATTAAATCATTAGAGAAAGAGTACCGTTCTCGACTCTTAATCCTTGTCTGAATTGAGTTTCCCCCCCCCCTCCAGCGCGAAGCGCGGAAGCTTTGACGTTTTATTAAATTATTAGAGAAAGAAGACGATTCGTTGTACCGTTCTCGATTCTTAATCATTGTCTGAATTCGGTTTCCATACCCCCTCGCGCGGAAACTTTAACGTTTCATTAAATCATTAGAGAAAGAGTACCGTTCTCGACTCTTAATCCTTGTCTGAATTGAGTTCCCCCCCCCTCTCCCGCGCAAAGCGCGGAAGCTTTTACATTTCATTAAATTATTAGAGAAAGAAGACGATTCGTTGTACCGTTCTCGGTTGTCAATCATTGTCTGAATTCAGTTTCCCCCCCCCCCTTCAGCGCGAAGCGCGGAAGCTTTGACGTTTCATTGAATTATTAGAGAAAGAAGATGATTCGTTGTTCCATTCTCGACTCTAAATCCTTGTCTGAATTCAGTTTTCCTCCTCCCGCGCGTAGCGCGTAAGCTTCTGACGCTTCATTAAATTATTAGAGAAAGAAGATGATTCGTTGTCCCATTCTCGATTCTTAATCCTTGTTCGAATTCATTTTCCCCCTTCCGCGCGAGGCGCGGAAGCTTAGACCTTTCATAGTTTAATGAAATTATTAGAGAAAGAAAATAATTCGTTGTTCCATTCCCGACTCTTAATCCTTCTCTGAATTCAGTTTCCCCCTCCAGCGCAAAGCGCAGAAGCTTAATGTTTCATTAAATTATTAGAGAAAGAAGATGATTTGTTGTACCGTTTTAGACTTGTCAAAAATGTTTCTTTGTCTGCCCCTTTTTTTCGTCCTATGTCCTCTTACTGTCCCTACTGCCCCTAGCTACGCATGCTTTAAAGGGAAAATGAAACAAACATGATTGTGATAGCATACAATTAGGTCAGTAGAAATGAAAGGGGAAAAAAAGATCTATTTATACACCAACCATAAAATAATCGCAACCGGGAGCGTCACATCTTAGTTTTGTGTTATCGGGCGAGGGCCGGGGCGTAGCGACCAAGCGAGATTTTGCAATGTAGAATGCTGAAATTATGCATTCTAGAAAATCCTTTAGTCCAATATGTACGTTCTTTCCGCTACATGTATATTTCTTTCTAGCTAAATATCTAAATTTCCGGGGGGACGTGTCCCTCTATCGGGCCCAGGATCGCCGCCGCTGTCCATTATCACTACCAACATGAGTTCAAATATAAGCACAAGCGAGTTGGTATGAGCTGAATCCAAGGGCAAAATAAGAGTTGTGAAGCGGCCCTACCGTTAATTTAAAATTTGACTGTTTAGTATATAGCTTCTATTTGAAAGACATCCAAAATATTGTGCCCTTTTTAATTTTTTTCAAAAAGCAGGGGCTGTTTGTAACGTTTAACTTTGAATCCGTGGCTCGAGATTTTATGCGGCCGGCCCGGCCCCCTCTATTCAATAACGTTTTCCAAGCCTTCTGGAATGACCCCAAATCTCCCGATTACAGTTTTTCCCTAATATTCGTCGTTACTGTCACTTAGCGCCTTTTCTTTGTCTTTCCCCCTTTCTCACCCGACTTTTTTCTTCCCCTTCCCACCTCCCCCCCCCCCCCCCCACCCACTCAGTGTTATCTAGGGTACGCGCATGTATGTTCCCTCTCTTAGTTTAAAAGCACCCCTTTATCTTCGGTGTGTAAAGTCAGTGCGGGCCGGATTTGTGTGTATTACGGGCCGGACTTTGTTGCGTGAAAAGTAACCCTTTATCGGAAATTTTGGGAACACAAAATCGGTCCCTCCGACCCGGAGTGGGAGTGAGGTGGGGGGGGGGGGGTATCTTCTTCTTTTTTCTTTCTCTCTCTCTTCTTTCTTTTCTCTTCTCTTTTTTCTCTTCTCTTTTCTTTTCTCTTCTCCTTTTTTTCTTCTCTTCTCCTTTCTTTTTTTTTTCTCTTTTTTTTTGCGCCGCCAATAGGGGGGGCCGCGGCCGTTTCGGCCCCCCCTGGATCCGCCACTGCTGTGTTTTTGCGAGCTTGCACAATGACTTTTAAAGGGACCGCTCTGTAGTGGAAAGATACAGGTAATGATGCAGTTTAATATAGGTGCATGTTATGTCGCCACGTGCTACCTTAGTGGCAAGGTTATTATGTGTTATACGTTTGTTGGTAGTTGATGGTTTGAATATTGTTCCTTCGGTCATCGAGGGCGATGACGTTTTAAGTGGGGAAGGATGTAAGGGGTTAGGAAATTACCATGTGACCTGTAGAGGGCGGAGTGCTAAGACAAGCCGGCACTCTTTGCTTGGCCCTCTCACAGGATCTGTCTGTCATTGATTTCGAGTTCTCGACCACCTCACACTTAGAAAACCATTAGAACAGGAAATATATTATCGTCAACATGCCCACCTGTCAAATTCAATTTTCAATGGTGATAAAAATCTTTCACCTCTGTTAAACATTGATCGCCTGATAGGCCTACAAATTCGTCGAAAAAAGTTCATGGACTCAATTTGGATTGTTGCTTTAAACTTATTTCCTGTTGCTTTGTGCATTTTTAGATTATTAAAATCTTGTTATAGTTCCCTTTACAACAGTTTAGTTATCTATCAATTAATTCATTTTATCTCAACAGAGTAGCACAAAGATTCTCCGCCGTGTACAAATAAAATAATATTAACAACATAGAAATTGACTAAAGTTTAAACACATTCTATTTTTGTATACATAAAATCTGACCAAAAAAATAATTTGACATCCAATTCGTTTAAGAGGCAGCGAAGCTTGGTCAAAGCGATGGTGGTTGGGGTTGTTGTTGGTGGTGGGTTGTGGACTTGTGGTGGTGGGTTGGAGTGTTGGTGGGGTGCATGGTGGTGGTGCATGGTGGTGGCTTGGTGGTGGTAGTGGTAGTGGTGGTGGCTTGGTGGTAGTGGTGGCTTGGTGGTGGCGGTGGTGTTGGTGGTGGTGGCTTGGTGGTGGCAGTGGTGGTGGTGATGGTGGTGGGTAATTGGTGATGGTGGCCGTCGGGGTTAGTGGACTAGTGGTGGTGGGTTGTTGTGGTTGTGTATTTTGGTAGATCGTGGGTAGCCAAGGTGGGGTGCCGGGGGGGGGGGGGGGGGGTGCATGGGAGCCGTAGCTTAGGAGCAATTGGTATACGTTTTTAGGCATACGCATAATTAAACTCCACGCGGAGCCGGCCGGAGCTACGGAGTCCAGATGTTGGTTCTATATCTACGGTAGATCACGAGTTCACAGGTACCTGTCTGCATGGGCCTCGTACTAGATGGGGCCTCACCCGCAGTTTCGCGGCCTGCCCGAGCCCCCCGGACGGAAGCGCCGGGCTCCGTCCCCTCGATCGCTTTCTAGCTGATTTAATAGCTGGCTAAACTCTCCAAGCACAGGTGCCATATTTGCAAGCAATCTTGTAAGTATAGACTAGACCTATATAGCATTCGATCCAAAATTCAAAATTTGGTATAGAGAGAGAGAGAGAGAGAGAGCGCAACATCGGAAAGAATGATTACAAGAGGAGGACAATTATTGAAAATAGACAAATAGTCTAGATTCTATTAACATTGTGAATAAATTTCATTCAACACTATCTCTCTGTCACAAATTCCCTGGCTCGCCGCTCGGGAGTCCAAGCCGATGGTGACCCTCTGGCAGGATCTGCGAGCTGCTTGATCTGCGGTGTCGTCATTGGGCTCGACGGATCTAGTAAATAGTATCTTGGTGTATTCTACTTAATAGTATCTTGGTGTAATTAAACTTGGACGTTGCACAGTGGTCTAGTCACAGGAATAGTTGTAGATCTATACTATAGGGAGGACTGTAATTGTAAATAAGGCTTACTTGTCCCATATTGATGTAGACCTCTAGATCTATAAGAAGATTTTGCATAGACCCTAGATCTAGACTAGCTCTGCTACATGTATACAAGTACAAAGTGAAACTAGATCTAGACCTAACTTCATGACATAGGCCTGGGCCCGGACTAGTAGTAGACCTAGTACTAGTCCTAGAACCGTAGGCGTAGAGCTAGATTGTTTGACCGTTAAAATGAATAGATCATGTTTTGATCTAGAAGAATTTATTATTTACATTATTGTGGCATAGTCTAGGCTTTAGCAACCAGTATAAAACTATCATTTGCACTTTTGTGCAAACTGGTTTAGACTAGGTTTATCTGAATTTTGTCTTTTTTGTTGGGGGTTGGGTAAAGATGAAATTACCTCAAGCATGTCCTGGAGGGAGATTTTCATCCCTATGACTTGCCAATTTTTAATGAAAAGAATCGGGTGGAAATTCTCCAAAATTTGATTCATGACGTTGGGTCCAAAAAGTAGAACGAAAGCTTCAGTTCAGTCTGCAATATCGATGGTTGTTCTGCTGAGACTACGTCTGGGTACACGGACTGCCTCAAGTTACATCTCTGACTGCAACCATGTGCACTCCACTGGCTCCCATACCAATATCTCCTCCAAGACGTGTCACTTTAAAACAGCAGCAGAATTAGCCATGTAAATTCTAACCCTTTTCCCTGGCAAGACAATAAATGATTCTTGTTGTTCCTTCAGTAACTTAAATTTCAAATAGAATTATAATCTTATACTATATCAATTAGATCTAAATTGTTTCACATGTCTAATTGATGAATCAAACTCTTAAATCTCGATAAAGAAAAACTGGGGACAAACTTTTTCGTCAGATTTCGGTGAAAATTGCTAATCTGTTAGAGGTGCGCCAAGGGCAACGTCTGAGTTTGGGAAAGGTTGATAAATGTCAGTTTTATTAAAGAATTCCCCATACCAGACGGTTATTTCTGTCAGGTCTTGGGGGATTCATAAAAAGTCTCAAGATTGTCATATTTTTTCTTGTTGATAGTCCAGATCAAAGGCCATGTCGTCAACAAAGGGCATCGACTTGGACAAAGTGGTGGAGGAGTTTACTTCTTTGCACAGGGTATGAATTAATAGATTAATATGCAAATAGCGGTAATGAACACCCACACAAATATTCAAGAAGTAGAAGAGGAAGAGGAAGAAGGAGAAGAAGAGGAAGAGGAAGAAGAAGACAAAGGAGAAGAAGAAGAAGAAGTGGAGGAAGAAGAAGAAGACAAAGAAGAAGAAGTAGAAGAAGAAGAAGTAGAAGAAGAAGAAGAAGGAGGAGAAGAAGAAGAAGCCAACAACAAAGAAACAGAACTAGACAAAGTATATTATTAGAGGTCAAGTAAAATTTATTAAACAAATCTTCAAGGTTTTTTTAAAACTTTTAATTAAATCTCTCTGTATTGGATTGGTACAGTTAAATGCTTTATCACAGCCTAAGAGTTTTTTTTTTCTCCTGTACTAATTATAAACAGCACTACTATTAGTTAATTTTTTGTTTTGTTATTTAAAAAAGAAAAGAAAATAAAGGCTAGATTCCCCCTATACAAACAAAATAAAACAAAACCCAATGTATTATCCAGAATAAGAATTTAAGCAGTCATGCAGTCTGAAAATGAATGTCTGAGAATTTATAATGAAGAGAAATGTTCCTACATTGATTTTAAGATGTTTTTGTTTTCCAAAACAGCTTCATGAAAAGCTAATCCAAGAGAAGGAAGGTCTAGAGAACGAAGTTGCTCTTCTGCAAAGAGAGTATGAATCATCCATGGAGAGACATGCAGGAACAATGAAAGGTATTCCCTCAGACTGACAATTTATGGTGATCTAGAGATGTTTCTATTCAAAGAGGAATTTTGTCCTGCCTCCCCGAACTAACATGGCAAAGAATGGTTTATTAGACCATATTCTGTGCAATTCCCTTGATTTTCTTCAGGATAACACTGATACAAGGTAACAACCAGTGCCCTGTTTCATGAAAGTTCTATATCAAATTTGCTCTGAAATACAATGAATTTGTAACTAAGTTATAACAAATTATTGAAACTTGTTATTAATAGAAGTTAAGCTCTTATTCTGAATATTTCACAGACCTATACCTGGAGTCTTGTAAAACTGTTTTTTTTTAATTGTTTTTTAAAATTAATTTTATTGCATCTCTCTATAACTTAGAATTGAAATGAAATCATCACTTTGGGTTATCATGCCATTGTTTCCCAGGATCTGGCAAATGAAAAAAGAACCAAGAATGATGCCAGTGTCAATGGATTGAAATATATTGAAAAATCTGTTGCAGAGAAATTTACTTTTCTTGGTCCAGTTTCCTCAAATTCAATTCAGAGGCTGTGTTACAGGTTGTCCCTTTAAAAATAAAAATAAAAAGGTATAAAATAGTATAGATATTAATATACAGTTTGCTTATAAAAATCTTGCTGGCTACTGCTATGAATTTAAGAGAACATCAGAATCCTTGTGACATTTTGTTACATTTATTTTCAGATTTCAAACAAGCTCAAGAGATGGTAACCAAGCTTCAGAACATGCTAAAGCTGAAGTGTAATCTTGAAGGTTGTATTCCAAATGTTTGTAATTGGCGTTCTTGATCAGTGTGTCTCGATCTTCAATATGTATTCATGTATAAAACTCAAAGAAAATTGACTCTGATAAAACAAAGGCTTTAATATAGTCACAAAAGCTTTCAAGAAGTCAACCTACATGTGAAACCAATTTGATCCACTCTGCATCATTCACCCGTAAATAGGTGCAAGAATGATGAGGATTTATTACATAATAAACGTAAATCTAGACATGCAAGTTAGGTATGGAAAATGCCCTTTGATTGAATTTTTAAATGTCTTTTGGATTGTGTTCTTGTAACTGTCTCTCTACTGACAAGGAACTAGAATTGATGACAAAGGAAAAACAACATGGCTTCGATCTAGGCTTGTACGATTTGTTATTACGATACTTTCACATCTAACAGAGATGATATATGATGAATATTAGGAATACATTCTGCATATTTTTTTGTTGTACTCACAATCTATAATTTTATTTTCTAGCCATTTCATGGACATGTACAAGTAATCTTTACAGAATAAAAAGAAAACACACAAAAATATTGACAGTTGAATAAATTGCATCCAAGATTACCTCCTTGACTGGTGAATTATGTAAGTCACATTGACTGTAATACATAAGCCACCTGTATCCCATAGGCAAATGGTTTAATTTGGAATGAATATGCAGTGGAGTCTGCAATAAATTTAATCTGTTTACTTTTTCTCTCTCTAGCTGCCTCTCTTGATCTCCCTCTTTCTCTTTTTCTCTATGTTTAATTTATAGATCTACAGTATCTCTTTCTACCGCCCTGTCTATTTTGTATGCTTTCAAAACCTCCCTTTCTTCAATATATTCAAGTCTGTTTTTATCTTTAACATTTAGATGAGAACCAAGAACACAAAGAAAAAGTCACTAATGTTATAGATGAGCTTGCTATTACTCGAGAGGTAAGTGCCTTAGAAACCATCCTTATTTACAAAGAGAGTTTTTGTAAAAACTTACGTTACATTACAACTAATATGAAGGGCAGAAATGTTTGACTCTCATAGATATTTGTTTTTTCAACTAACAATAACCTGTCAAATTACACTGCAAGTATTACATTACATTCACATTGAATTCTCATCTGCAGATCATAGATTGATTTGAATTCGTTTTTAGCATGATGGATTAAAAAAAATATCCTGTGTAAGAAATAGTTTGCTCAGTTTGCCACGTTATAAGTTTTTGTAGAATGAGAGTCTTGAAAGCGTCCTTTTTGCAGTTTTTACTGACACATATCATGAGTCATTGGTCAAGTATCTCAATTCACCTATATAGACTGTGAGTTCAGTCTTCAGTAGCGATGGTTGTTCCACTGGCACTGAGAATACATCTAGTTCCACTGTCCACCTGGGAAGATTATTTAAGAATCATATCCGATAGTTATTTCTGTTTCTAATGTAAACTTTGTGTTTCTTTTTTTTTCTTCTTAAAATTAGGAACACAAGCTAGCTATGACTATGTCTGAGAAGAAGATAGAAGATCTCGAAGTGAATCACAAACAGGAAATAGATGAACTCCTAGAGACTACCACAGCACGGAGTAAGTTAATGCAACATTATTTAGAGTTAGACTACCTTTTCATTTTCAGTACGAAGGAACCAGTTATCTTCAACGGGAGGATAGTGGCTAATGGATGATAATGACTGGTAATTAAAACATCTAATTTTGATAAGTATCAAGGCAAAAATTTGAATTTTTAGAAGCTTTTAATCTGATTCCAGTTATTAGTAAACAAAGGCCCCTTTTGTGTTTTGTCATGAAAGTAAAATGATTTTTAGTTGGATGACAATGTTAGTGCAATAATCCGATTTCAGAAACATCTTTTGCATAATGTTTTGTAATAAATTCTTGAGAAGCAATGTATTACAATAACCATCTGTTAGTATGAAATATAATATTACGTCCTGTACAAATTTAACATGACTTAAAAAGAATATTTAGTATTTTAGCATGGTGCCTCCTTTTATGACAATCCTGACTTCGCTATTGAATCAAATCAATTCTTGTAGGAGAGAAGGAGGTTGGTCTATTAAAAGAGAGTTTACAGTCCAAGATGAATGAGATTGGTAAACTTCATAAGCAGCTAACTGAGCTGGAGAGAGAGAAACAGACTGAAGTGGCTAGAGTTAGGCTGGAGGTGAGTTTCTTATCCATTTTTTTATCAACAGCATTCTTCTCTAATATGATCCTGCACAATATTTAACACATTTCTGCTACGTTACAGGGGCATTCTTTTTTTTTTTTTTTTTTTTTTTTTGGGGGGGGGGGGGGGGGGGCACTTGCAACTGGTCAAAAGTACACAAACAAAAGTGTACCCCCTGAACTGTGGTTTGTACTCCTTCAAATATTAATAACTAAAACCACCTGAAAAATGAAATATTCCTTCTCTTTGTTGCTTGTCTGAATTTTCAAGCATTATGGCCCCCTGTTTACAAAATCCTGGATCCGCCCTTGTCCACATGTTTACCCAAACTCCCTTGTGCAATACTCAACTAGGCCTCATCTATCCGATGAAGATGTGAAATTTTACTTCCAGATAATACAGTTCTCTAAAAAAAAAAATTTAAAAAGAGAAGAAATAAAACTGATAAAAAACGATGTAAGTTGTCACTTCCTTTCCTTGGTATTTAATGAACAACTGTTTTTGAACATGTGATATGATTTCTCTGTGTTACTTTTCATTTCTTTCAAGTGCTTAATTATGTCAAAGTGGATTTGAATATATATCAAGAGAAGTTTAGATGAAGATTGTTAATAATAGTGTGCCCCAAAAATAAGTGAGAGGGAGAGAGAGAGAGAGAGAGAGAGAGCAAGCTTTTTAAAGGCCTCTATTGTGATTATATTCTTTTATCACAGTATGATGCCAAATTGTTGAAGCTGCAGAAAGAAATCACGAGAGCTCAGCAACAGAGCTCAAAGACGGCAAACAGAGGCAGTGATATATTCAGACAGGTAAGCATAAAAAAGAAGTTTGCTGTGATTTATCCTCTGTTTCCCTCTGGCATAATTATGTAGTCTCTCTTCCTACTTCCTTTTCTGTTCCCTCCATGATCTCTGCATCTGTTTCTATTTTTTTCTGTCCTTCTACCATTATTCTCTCTAACCCCTTTCCAGGATTGCCAGTTTTCAGGATACGCCTGATTTCAGGCCCCGACACCTTTCCATATCAGGCTTCATATTGCACATCAGGCGCGTACGCAGGGGGGGGGGTGGGGTTAACCCCCCCTTGAGTTTTTTTAAAGTGTATGTTTTTGGGAAACCCCCCCCACCCCCTTTGAGTTTTTTTTTTTTTTTTATAAAAAAAAAAAAATCCTAATGGATGACCTAAAAAATATGTCCTCTCACCCCCCACCCCCCCCCCCCCCCCCCCCGCTTATTCAGCGGCTGGCTGAGTCGTTGCAAAAATTTTGGCTGATTTCAAAATTGACCATTATTATCAATGATGAACAGTTGGTATTTTATCAGTCCTTAACTATAGAAAATAGATATACCGTACATGCCAAGGACTATAAATGGACAAGTCTTTGAAAAGGAAAGATGGTGCAATTAGATATCCACTTCTTTTTTGTGATTTATTTCAGAAACTATCGAATGTGAAAGCGGAAGCTGACCAGCAGATCTCGTCTCTCAAGAGAACCATTTCTGACCTACAGAGGCGGCTTGATGCACAAACAGGAGGCACCTATGGACCAAAGAGAAAGTTCTGAGGTGGATAACTGCATTCTACGACAACAATAAACTTTTAAAATCTGCTCATGATCATATTTTGACTGCTTTCCTTTGTACCTTGAAGGATTTCTAAGCTTCTTAACTCTGTATATTTGCTGTGGATTGCACCCCGGACTGCCACATTGTTTGGAGTCTATGGTTCGCATATGTATACTGTATGTGTGAAAAAAAAGCTAACTGTGGCAATCTATCATTTCTTCCATATGTTAACATTAGCCAATTAAAGGAATTCATTAAACATTATACAAACCTGGTAAAAGGTAAACCACTTGAAAATACTGCAACAAAATAAATACAATTTAAATCAACAGTGTGTGTTCCACATGTTTGTATCTTGTATGCATACAGGATATTGTTCCATGGAGTTTTATTCTTTTCTCCCCATAATATTTTCCCTTCCCTTTCATCGATAGGTGAAATTTGATGCATTTGAATTATGCAGGTAGTTTACTGTGTCTTGTCTGAACAGGATTTGTGATTTGATCTGATATATTTCTGAACTCCCCATAAAGTGTATTGTGAAATATTGTAGGCATCCATATGCAATAACGATCAATTAAGTTAGCATATGTTCTTTACTAACTCTTAGTAGATCAAGTACATGCATTCTAAAGTTGGGTTTAAGCCGTTTTCATTTTGTTATATGTACACGTATGTAAATGGTACTAATTGACTAAAACATTTTCCTATCTAATGGCATTTCTTGCTCTATAATTTGTCCAAGATCTTAAGTGTATACAATCTCTCTATCTCTCTCTCTCTAAGGACCCCAAGGAAGAATAGAAATGGTATATAAACATTGCTGAATTGGGCTTTCCTCCGATTGTTATTTATGTACATGAATAAACATTTAATTTTGTATATTTTTCTGATTTTGGAAATAAAATCAACAAGAACATCTCTCCCTCTCTCTTAATCTCTAGGTTCACTTTCTGCTAGAACTTAATCAAGACCCAAGAGCTACTTGTTTCTAATCAGAATTACTATTCCATTTTCCTCTCTATGTCTTTTCTTTTCCTTTCTCCCTTTTCTCTCTATCATTCTCTTTGTATCACTTAGTCTACCTAATCTCCTGTTTCTCTTGCTCCACTCTTCAGCTTATTAGATACCACATGCAGAGTACAAATGAGCACAGATATGATTGACATACATGTATATATTTGTATGGTTTATTCATTATCCTGTGATAATTCCTGATCATTAAATCACCATATAACAAAAAGTGACACAGGTCCTGAGATATAATTTACTTTGGGTTGAAATATCTTTTTTTCATTGAAGTACTTGGATATAAATGCTGTATACATATAATGCATGCGAATAATACAATTACAAGTCAAAATCAAATATACACCCAATCTAATAATTAATACACACTTTGATCACATCAAATTTTCTATAATATTCTATATTCTATAATAAATTAAACACACATTACAGAATTGCAAGACAAACATAATTAGCATAGCCAGCACCATCACATGGTCTTATTTTACAGTTGCCCTAATACCATTTGCACATTTACAAGACATTTCATGAAGAGAATACCATCCATAACATGGTACTTGAAAAACATTTACACACCTTAACTGAGGGTGCCTAAGCACTATTACATGTAATTGAGGCTCGGGGTGAGAGGATGTTTGTTTACAGATGGTAAGATTTAGTGCTATCTTTAATGAACTCGCCTTTGGTACCTTCACGTTAGTGCCATTTACCGTTTAAGTTTTTGCTGCAAAATAGATTTTATTCAGGAAAGATACCGGTACTACAAGTGTTCATTTTTAAAAGTGCAGTTTTGGATTGTCATGACATTGATTCAGCTAATGATTGATATGCACTTTTTTACAAGGTACCTGACCAACATTTATTCCATGATGAATAATTATAACAGCATAAAATACTTATTAATATAAGATTTAAAAATACATAAAAGATTAGAAGTAGGTAACCAATACAATTTACGTTATGCCAATAAGTATTCAAGATTATATTCGATTCATTCGGTAAGCCCTTAAATTTTTTTTGGTCACATTTCTTTGATTTTACATGACAAATAGGAAGATAAAAGTGATACCAAGCTGCTGTGAATTTGTTATCCCCTCAAGTGCGATATTAAACATATGAGAGGTTGGCAAAAGGAAAAATTTTAGACACCCGGTACCTGTCCTGGGATGTAAATTATAACAATGGCAACCTGCACAACACACATGTAAAACCTACTAAGACTGTTACACTTGCATTAACTACATACACACATGCTGTCTGAAGCAAAGCATTGCGATAGTTTAGGGGAGTGTATACATATAGCTGTTATAATAATAACCTTATACATGAGCTTTAACAGACCCAAGCTTGTGATATCTCAGAAACCACTAATTAAACAATTCATGTGACGACGGATAGTCGACCTGTTCGAAATGTCGAGCCACTCATTCTCTCCAAGCGCTATAGTTCTCCTTAGAACTATAAGTTAAGAAAGGTAACAAACAGTCCTTTTCAGGACTACACATCCCCAAGAAAGATTACAGAGTCAGAGTCCTTTTCAGAACTCCTCAACCCTCTCTCTATCTCACATGGTGCACCCGCAAGCCTACTGTATAGACAATTCATATTCGTTATGTTTAGAGTCTTGAGACATTCTGCAAAGTATAATCCAGACAGTGTGAGGACTCTCACACTTGAGGGAGACAAAGTCACCCTCACCAATGCTTCTGGAACGATTTCCCTCCATGTATTCTGGCTTTACCAGCTCTTTCTATTTTCCAAAAGTCCCTAAAAATCTTTCTTTTCACCCACTCAACCTACCATTGAATGTCCCTGTAGTAGTCATATTTATTATCCTAAGTTACTTATGTACATTTAGATGCAATGTGTAACTACACTTAATAACTGATTTCTGTACATA